GTTTAGAAAGTAGAAATGAAGAAATCCAACACATTGAAATGAGCCGGCGGTTTGACGCGTATACACTGTAAAAACTACGGAGGATATTGCAGGAGTAAAACGGCCGAGTTACTCTTCAGTGTTCTTTGACTCTGGCGAAGTATCCGATAGAGTGTGATTCATTTTCCTTTTGTATGAAATGAGAGAGTGAAACTGCTTTCTACTCCACCTCTTTTTGAGAGACTGAGAAGCCCATATACTCTTCAGCCATGAGTGATCAAAGCGCGGTTATGCTCCTGCTCTTGATTACGTTTAGATGCATCGGCACCCCGCGAGCGATGAAGTGAAACGTGCTGCTTTGCTTGTTGAGGCGTTATAGAGACGATTACAAAAAGAACAGTGTTGGCAGCGCGCGTCAGTGAATTTCAGTGCACGGAGCGGCACTTAGAGCTCTTAATATCCGCGTTTTAGGCGCAAAGCTCTTTGAAGTGGCACTCGTCCAGACCTCGCCGTAGTTGTAGTGCGTAACCAGTCTCCCGCTTTGACATGCAAGGTGGTTGATTGATTAATTTGTGGCGTTTAACGTCCCAAAACCACCATATAATTATGAGAGACGCCGTAGTGGAGGGCTCCAGAAATTCGACCACCTGGGGTTCTTTAACGTGCACCTAAATCTGAGAACACGGGCCTACGACATTTTTGCCTCCATCGTACCTGCAAGGTGGTGCCGGTGGGAGATTTCGCCTGTGCGTTGTTGAACAATAAAAAACTCGCAGCATGTGCATTAACCAGATGTCGAATTCACCTGTCTCTCATTCCCAATTAGCAGCCATTGACATGTACATTGATTACTATCTGACAAGAAAGGCTTGCTACGTGATACTCGCTGGGCGTAACCTCCTTGGTTTTAGAAAGGTTTAGCGAGCGTTGGGCCGCAGCGCCATGAATACAGTGAACTAGTATATACCATGAACTCGAGGTGGTTAAAGGTGGGAAGTAGACAAAAAGTACAGGCCGCAAGGAAGTGTGCGTGTGCCACCTCTCATTTATTCCTTGAAATGTTCGATGGATGGCGGTGCTTCTAAATGCAGAATATGTGATGAAAAGATGCGATATGGTGGTACTTCGACTGTTCAATAGGTGGAGGAACGGAGGACACATAGACAGATGCATGGACGGACGCACGGATGGCTGCACGGACGGATGGACGCATGAACAGATGCAGGGGCAGATGCATGGACGAACGCAGGGACGGACGCACGGATGGACGTGCGGACGCACAAACAGACACACGCACGGACGGGTGGATGGACGCATGAACAGTCACACAGACGAACGCATGCACGCACGGAAGCAAGAACAAATGGACGGACGGATGCTTCGCCCCACTCTCCATCATTCACCCCGTGGTTATATGACGCCATTTAGCTTCGGATCTGTGTAGTGAAATAAGCGAATATTATCTTTTTCAATCGGTTAAAATCGAAACTCAACGCAAATGGCTATGACATTCTCCTTGTATTATTCATGTTTCGCTACGACCATCGCACACTAGGTATGCTGCAGTAAGCCTAGCGTGTGGTATGGCTACAGTATAGTATTGTGGCTTCAGTCGTAGTACTTGAAGAAGACCGTGAACAAGAATGACTGAGAATATGTCATAGGGATAATAACAAATCTAAATTATACCTAATATACACTTCAGAAGCTCGATGTTTCGTACGCAGAAATGACTAACCGCTTATGAAGTCAGTGCAAATGCCGTTCTTATACTCGGTTACGCATTTTTTCCTTCTGTAAAGAACGCGTCGGATCAACGTTCTGATTTCACGAAGCACAAAGCAAACACATTAAACACGGTAGCTACAGTACGGCTGGTTTTGAGAAGCGTGGAGACACTGAAATGTGCACTTTAAAAAAGAAAATGCAGACAGATCACAAACATTACTTAAGACTTGAGGAATTAAACACTAATGTACCGTCTTTCAGTGTGGTGTGGTGGCTACTGGGTCGGGCTCGCCATGAGCAGTGCGTCTCAACGTCGAAGGTTTCTATCTTTTTTTCCCTTAGTGCTAGTATTTAGCCATCTTACGATCGGCGCGCGAGGGAATCCGTCAAAAACAAATGAAAAGCCCAATATTGGCCCAAGTTCTGCGATTCTTTTTCGTGAAGTGTACTGTTTCTTCGGTGGGCTCATGTCACGGGTAACGTTATGTTACTCTGTTGAGGGGGAGTGCCTTGACCAGGTCGGGAAAATCACTGTACTCTGCCTCACCAAGAGGTGATTTACTCTGGAAAAGAGAGTGAAATATGGGACAAGAAAGTACTCATCAAAGAGAGTACCCAGCACACTCTTAGTTTTTAGCGTGTAGGTACACATATAAAAAGAGCACGATTTTCATTAGGTGCGGTACTGACTAATGTGTAGACGAGGTTTTATTAGGCAGAGCAAGTCTGCCTAATCGACAAACTTGAGCGAGGCACGAGCTGGAGCTGTCTGGCCTGTTTGCTGCTGCAACGCTGCCCGCAACCGTCCAGCGAGGGGTATTGGGATCGATACCCAACAAGACCACCAGAAATATAATGTAAACACTGGGATTAAAAGCGGTATTGGCTTCCGAAAAGTAGCATCAAAAATAGAAAGGTCGCGGGCAGCCTTCCTCGGTGGATGGACACACGGACGGGCAGATGGACGCTTCGCCCCACCCATTATCATTTACTCCTAAGATATGCTGCGAAAACCCCAAACGCCATCTAGTTATATTATTCCCAACGACATATATACACAACGCCATATATTGAGCAACTCATAAACTAGAAGTGGCTACAGACTTATACTACTCATCAGCGCTTCCAGACAGAAGGCTACCTTATTTTGACGTTCTTTGCAGCGATGCACGAAGATACGCGGCTAGTTTTTATTGTGATAGCGATTGTAAGGACAACCTCGGCTGGATTTTGCCGTTGGCGTCGACGTCAATGTCGGCGACCACCGTCATTCACCGTTATGTACCTATATATAAAAATGCAAAGAAGAAAAATTATATATAATCACTAGGGTGCACATTAGCGTACACTCGTGATCTTCTTGTATATGTATTTGTTTTCCTGATGCTGCTAGCGATTGTTACCAACTGTATGCTTCAAATTTTTTTGCATCCCCCCAACTGTAATGCCATGTGGCACTGTGGGCATAGCATAAATAAATAATAAATAATTAAATAAAATCATGCCGCGGAATTTAACGTCCGACCTCTTGCTTCTGAGCGCGCGGCGTTAGCCACAAGTCACGAAGAATCACCTCCTTTATCGTTGAAACTGCAAGTTATTTATATCTACATCCTACCCCGGTGATGGCGATCTCGCGAAAACTATCATGTTTTTCAGCCTTACTTGCGAGATGGCGTAATGAGCGCGCGTCACCAGATCGTCACGACTAGTGTTGGCAAACGTCGGAGAGCAGAACTAGCTAGATTTCAGCGAAAAATTACCCAGAGATAGCTAAAAAAATTTACCAAGGATCTATTGAAGTATCTAAATGATTTTTTCAAACATTTTTAGACAACTACGCAGAACATGCATGAATGAAGAAAAAATTGTTCCTGCTTTAATTCCAATATTATAGGGCAGGCGTTGTTTAGCTTAGCGTAAAGGCTCTCGCGCCCCTCAAAGGGGAGCTGGGAAAGCATCAGAGCTCTGTCAACATCACGGGTGTGTGAATATTCAAAAATTTTGAATAATGAATGGAACAGTGAATAACGAACAATAAAATAAATGAACCGAACAACCACAAAAGAGCACCTCCTTCAATATTGAAGTGGCAAGAAATTCATGTCTGCCCCTTACGGCTGGTGGGGCTGATGATGGAGGAACTATCGTGTTTTAGCAGTACCAGTGAGATGACACAAGAAAGCGCGTCGCTAGATCGTCACGACGTAGCGACACGCGCTCATGCCTTCAACTCCCGCGCCTACTTTGCCCCGCGAAGGGGGGGGGGGGTAGATGCTCACACGTGCGTGCGCTTATCTTGCGATAGGGAAAATCGTACGCCTTGAGCTTTCAGCAGAACAATTCTGTTGTAGTTACCGGGTGCACAAAGGTCACTGCACTCACTGCGCAGTGACCTTTGTGCAGTTTCTGTTTGCGGAAAGAGCGCGTTTTTCAGACGCAGCGAAGTAACGACTGAGAGACCTATTTGCGTTCATCTGTACCCTTGAGTACGTTTTGCGCGTCATTTGTGCGTGGGCAACGCGGGACAAGTTTCGATCAGCCTACCATTCTTGGCGTGATATTGCATTTTGTTGCTATCACATTGATTGCTTCGCATTTGCAGTAAAGCTGTAACTTTCTTCTATTTCTTTCTCTTTCTTGCTTCTTCTGTCTTCATCTCTCTGTTTATGACATCGCCTTTCATTCTGCATATCTCCCTTTCTTTGCGCTTTCTTTCGTACAATCTCTCTCTTTCTTATTCTGTTTTACTCTCTGTCTATTTCTTTTTTGCGCCAGTTTCTTTGTCTTGCTCTCTCTTTTTATGTCTTTCTAAAAATCTTTCTCTCTTTTTATGTCTTAATTGCCTTTATATTCTACATCGTTTTTCATATCAACTCCTTGACGTCTCTCGCTCTCTCTCTCTCACTGTCTTTCACTTGTTAATTTCGTTGGACGTTTGCAGCTACAGAACTTTGGAGCTTTCCCTGTTCATATGGCACTTCCACGCCGGATGATGTTCGTCCCCGTTAGACAGACTACTGCTGTCGTCTACAGCTCCGTCGTTAAAACAGACGCAATGCCATATCTGTGTTTGTAGTTTTTTAAGTTGTTATGAAGTGGCGCTTGCTGATTCATTCATGGATGACCATCCACACTTACAGAGGGCTATTGAGGAAGGCCTGGTTACCAAAAGGGTTCAAGATTAGTTTATGAGACGTACTGAAACGATGGGTCTCATGATTTCCCCCCTACAAAGCACTTCGCGTGTTTCGGTGCAGCCACTTTGACGTTCTTCGTTTTTACTTTTCCAGGAACGCTACGTTCGACTTCAAGACCAGTGACAGTACGAACTGGAACAAGTTCGAGGCGCTTGTAGATGGCGGTGAGTACAGCAGATAGCGTAGTGCTTTAGGGTGAGCATTGTGCAATCCTCACCAGGAGGTTTGAACGCAAGAAAAGGAATGGAGCGTTGATTTATTAGACAGGTCTTTCGACCAAGAGGCAGTCAGGCCAAGGAAGATATTTGCAGCCAGATTGGGCTATAAGTGTAAGCACCAGTCTCGATTAGTGTGGATGGGCAATCGGCGGTGCGTATACAAATACAAGCAGCGGCACTTAGTTCCGAGTGGGTTCAGCCAATTTTTGATAAATAAAATGCGTTGACTACAGGTTACTGTTAATATATAAGCTCCTCGCTGCTGATTCGATCGACGAAGCTCATCCAATGTTACTATTACTAATCAGAGGAGTGCCCCCTGCCTATTAAAAGGATGCTCACCCTTGGTGAGTGTCTGCGCTCTTTCGCTCTAAATGGCACTTTTGTTGTTTTCTTTGTACGTGTTTAACCTGTGCTGACCTACCGCGTACTGCTGCGTTGTGGCTGAACTACTTAAGTATTTTCTTATTGCTCTTGTGGCACACAAAAAACAAAAATAAGGTAGTATAAAGCTCGTACACTTGAGTGACGAGTTCAGTACCACTGTTCGCCCAAATACGTAAACATACATACATGCATACATACATACATACATACATACATACATACATACATACATACATACATACATACATACATACATACATACATACATACATACATACATACATACATACATACATACATACATACACACATGCATACATACATACATACATACATACAAAGAACTTCATCAGATCCTGAGGAGTTTTCGCGTGTACCCTTTCATGCAAATAAATGAGGAAGAAGGGGCGGCGGGCACGAGCACGAGCCTGGAGCGCTGGCTCACTCAGTTGATCCCTTGACCTTCAACGCAGCCAGACGATCGGGTCGAGGTCCCCTTCTTCGTTTCTCACACCCTTATCGGGGACCCGCGGAAACCGCTGGCCGCGTCCAAGTCAGCGCTGGGACACCGTGATTTTCCGCCCATTTTTGGGCCCTCTGGATAGCCGGAAATTGCGCATGGAGTAATGAGCACCGGAAGGTTTCTTCCCAGTCAGCTTCACTGGATAGAGGGCCATAAGGTAACGCAGGGCATTGCCTAAGCATGTGCGCTAAAGAACGGTAAGTTTTATTGCAGTCCGGACAACTTGAATCAGTTTCTGTTGACATAAGACAGAGAAAATTCCCGTCTGGAGCATTCTAAGTGTGACTGACGGATATCTACCTAACTTCGGGGGAGGAAGAAGATGTGTTCTTCTACTAAGCCGATGGTGAGAGGTTATTTCGTTTAAAGTAAGAAGTGGATCGTTAAACTGGATTTAATCCTGTACCAATAAGGCCTCCATGCCACCGCAGTGTTTGAGATCTCGCGCACAGTCACGGGCAAGCTCGTTGAGGTTAGGTATGGTCCGATGAACGTCTGCTACCCATATGGGCGGGAAACCAAAAGGTGAAGTGAGTGCCGGGGTTTCTTCTTTTTTCCAGAACAGAGGCAGCCTCTCACGCCAGGTTACCCGATTCGAAGCCTTTAATGGCCACTCGTGTGTCTGTAAATATGTTGGTGTGGAAGGGGTCGGTCATGGTGAGGGCTATGGCGACCTGCTCTACGATGGCGCTAGTAGTTAACCTAGCCGAGGCCGAGGAGCGTAATTCTCCGTTGCCGTCAGTGACTGCCAGTATGGATGTGCCAGACTGGTCATACTGAGCGGTGTCGACAAAGATAGTCAATTCACGATTCTCACCAACCTTTTGTAATATTGCTCGTGCACGGGCTTTTCGCCTCCGTACATTGTAGTGGGCGTGCATATTTTGAGGGAATAGTCTGACCACAAAGGTCTCCTGAACATCCCTGGATAAGGCGATCTCGCGTTCATTCATTATTATAGGAGCCATGCCAGTCGAGTCTAGGATGCGTTTTCCAGCCCTAGTAGACGAGAGCCTGACCTACTTTGTGGTGACCTGCGCTTCAATTCTTTCATCAATGTCGTTGTGCATACCGAGTTTGCTTTATCTGTCAAATTAGGTATAGTTTATTTATTTATTTATTAGAATACCCTCAGGGCCCGTAGGGCATTACAGAGGGGGTGGGTACAACATTTATAACACACAAGAAAAAAAAGACAAAATAAAGAAACAAGTGTCAGATGCGCAAATCAGGAAGGCAACATAAGTCAACTAAAAATGTATAAGAATTCAAGCACATACAAGACAAAGATAGATAATGGAAACTGCGTATAGTTACAAGCATTGCTGAGAAATTGCAGTCTTGAATAACAAAGGGTCTGTTATTGTTACAACGGAAGAGGGAAGGTGGTTCCAATCGGCGGCTGTTTTCGGTAAGAAGGCTGCTGAAAAGAATTTGGTGCGGCAAAACGGAATGGCAACCTTATGCTGGTGATCAATGCGCGATGAGTGGTATGACGGTTGTGAAATGAGGTCTCGCTTCATTGATGGATTGTGAAAAAATATCTTATGAAAAAAATGCAGTCGCGCCAGTTTCCTCCGGACAGTTAAATTGGGTAGGTTAAGGTTATATTTCATTTCTGATATGCTAGCAGTACGGGAATAATTAGAACAAATGAACCGAACTAAGCGGTTCTGAACAGATTCTAACGCGTTAATTAAATTTTGCTGCACGGGATCCCATATAGCGGACGCGTACTCAAGCTTTGGGCGAATTAGTGATCGGTATAATAGAATTTTGAGGGACAGCGGAGCACGAGAAAAGTTGCGGCGTAAGTATCCTAGCGTTCGGTTAGCGTTATTACAGATGTAGGTAACATGCGCGTGCCAAGATAGATTGTTGGTAATGTAAACGCCGAGGTACTTATATGAAGAGACATGCTGGAGGGAAACGGCGTTAATTCTGTAGGTACACGGGGGGAGAAATAGATCGCCGGGTTATTGACATGCATTTAGATTTGTTAGAGTTGAGAGTCATAAGCCCATTTATTGCACCAGGTTGAGACAGTGTCAAGGTCTGACTGTAGAAATTCGGTTATCATATTCATTGTTTATTTCGCGGTAAATTACACAATCATCTGCAAATAACATTATAGAGGAGTTAATGCTGTCTGGGAGATCATTAATATATATAAGAAAAAGTAAAGGGCCTAATACGGAACCTTGGGGTACGCCGGATGTTACTTTAGAAAGAGGTGAGTTATAGCCATTAGTTGTTACAAACTGAGTGCAATTAGTCAGAAAGCATTCAATCCATTTAAGAATGTTCGGGTCAATGTTTAAGGCACTAATTTTCAGGAGGAGTAATTGGTGAGGTACTTTATCGAAAGCTTTTTTAAAGTAAAGAAAAATGCAATGCACAAGTGAGCCGCGATCTAAAGCCGATGCTATGCCATTAGTAAAATAAAGAAGTTGGGTTTCACATGATTAACTTTTTCGGAATCTGTGCTGGTAGGGAGTAAAAAAAGAATTTGATTCTAGGATTGAGACTAGGTTGGAGTAAATTATATGTTCTAACATCTTACAAGGAACACTGGTTAGGGAAATTGGTCTGTAATTGAGAGGAGAACTAGATATAGTTATCGGAAATTGGTCTGTAATTGAGAGAAGAACTAGATATAGTTATCGGAAATCCCAGTACTATTTTGATGCTCTTCTGCATGAGTGTATTTAGCTTATTTTTTCCCGTTTTGGTTCAATTAAGGGCCGAAGCTACATAGTTATGCTGACTCATTAGGAAGGTGTGATGAATCCGGAGTAGGTTGTCTTCACATAGTCCTTTTCTGCAGAATGATACTCTGGTGACGAGTCTCAGCATGTCTTCAGTTTTGGCCGTGATGTGCGTGAGAGTTTTGGCATTACATCCCGTAGCCTCGCTAAGTAATCTCAGAATTCCAATTTAATCTACTCGTGGAATGCGCCGTCCATTTTTTGCAAAAAAGGGCGATGGGAATGTGGTCAAGATGTGGAATTGTCTTAACACCTTGCCTGGCCGGCTTATACAGCAATAGTTCAGATTTGTTTGGAGACAGTTGAAGGCCTGTGCCTTCTAAGTAGGACTCCGTTTTGTCTAGGGCTTATTTCAGTGCGTTTTCTACTACTGCGAGCAATCATCGCGGGCACCAAATTGTAATGTCGTCCACGTAAAGTGAGTGGCATATATTGTGCAGGGAGCTGAGTCTCTCGGATAATCCTTTCATAACTCTGTTAAAAAACAAGGGCGAGATGACTGCTCCTTGTGGGGTGTTTCTGGCCCCAAGGGTGAATTTAGCTGATTTATGTTGACCGATCCTGATGATAGCCGTTATATTCATCAGGAATGATCGTACGAAGGCCTGAAACTTTGCTCCCAGACGCTGTCTGGCTGTGGCCTGCAGCAGAAAGCGATGACATACGGTGCCAAAGGCTTTGGTCAGGTCAAGGGCTAAGATACCCTTTACACCTTTAGTGCCGTCATCAAAAATATGCTTCTTCAGGAGTAACATCAATTTAGTGTAGAGAGGCCGTGCCTGAAGCCGATCATGTTGCGTGGGAACACATCCTTGTGTTCTATGCAGTCGAAATCCAATTGAAGATCGCATGCTCAGCTATCTTGCCTACAGAATAGTTTAGCGATATTGGCCTTAGATCGTCAATATGTAATGGCTTGCCCCGGTTTAGGAATAAGCACAATCGAGGCCGCTTTCCACTCCTCCGGGATGCTTCTGCTCTCCCAACTCTTTTCGAATTATTTCATAAGCAGCTCATTGGATCTGTCATCCAGGTTCCTTAGCAGTTTCTTTGAGATGCCATCCAGACCTGAAGCTGACCTGCTATTCAAGTTGTATAGGACGGCCCTAATTTCAGACTCTGTGAAGGGTCATCGAGCTCCTTTACCGCGTCACATTCTATTTCAAGATACTCTTCTGAAGTGCCTCCGCCTAGCAGAACTATCTATTCGCTACCTCTTCTAGGAAGCGTATCTTCTGTTCAGCCCTCTTGTTTGTGCTTGTGCG